ATTTCATGTGCAGCAGAACAGGCCTATAATTCACTGGAATATAAATCAATTGATAAGGCATAAATCACCATTGAAGGAGATTCTGTTTGTAAAACTTGCTTAATATGCAAGTTTAGCATATCTATAAGATGTGAAGCAACAGCTTTGCAGTCTAATTCTTTTTTGGCATTCTTTCAGGTCTTAATATTTTTACTGACTTCTATTTTAAAATCAGGATTTTTTTCACATACTATTATTAATTTCAAAATTGTTTTAATGGTGTTGCTGGGACTGAAATATAAATGAAGTGTAATGATTTACAGCCATATTTGTGGGGGTGGGTTTGCCTCTGGACAGGAGGATCCAAGTCAGATGAAAAAGTGGATCTTAGCAAAGACAAGAAGTTAGCCCAGTTCAACAACTGGTTTACTTGGTGTCACAACTGTAGGCACGGTGGACATGCTGGTCATATGCTGAGCTGGTTCAGGTAAGTTGATGCTAAAATTTTGTTATGTCACATGTGTGTTCTGCACTGAGTAGAACATGTCTCCTTCCCTGTATCTATCATTATAAAGTTTAAATAATAAAACTGAACTATATACTGAGTTTTTCTGAAATACTACAACTCTGCATGTAGTTAAATGTATAACTGCAAAATTATTTTACCTGTTTTTGTTGGTTTTTTTTTGGCTGCTGTTATTTAGGGACCATACTGAGTGCCCAGTTTCTGCCTGCTCTTGTAAGTGTATGCAGCTGGATACAACAGGGAATCTCGTTCCAGCAGAGACTGTCCAGGCATAAATACTGTTAGAAAATGTGTGACTCTCTAATGGATGTCCATCATAGTCTAAACAGATATTTTAGACAAAGGTAATTTGTGATTTACTGTGAAAAAATAAACTGCTATCAAAGTAGTAAAATGACGTGTGTATGACTGTGCTTGGTAGAAACAGATATTCCTGAAATGAGCCTCTAGGTACAGTGCATGGCCCTTATTCAAAGGACTGAAGAAAAGGACTCCTGGAATTGTGGATTCTTTGGATTTGCTAAAATCCAAAAAAGACCTTTATTAAAAATGTTTTACAGGATAATGCTGGTTGGTCCAAAAAAAAATCTGAGTCAATACGCTATGAAAGCAGACCTTCAAAATAAACACTTGAAGGAAAGATGGCAAAGTGATGCTGTGGATTCCTCTGTTCATTGTTTGATCACTCTTTTGTATGCAAATGATAATTTGTTTCCTTGTAAGTTTATGCAAATGATCATTTGTTTCCTTGTAAGTTTATGCAAAGTGCCACTGCTAACTGTCTTCTTAAGAATTTATTTTAAAGAAAAATCAATTTCTTTCTGTTTCCAGGTTTTGTTGATAGTGAAGCAATGTCTTTGCAATTCAAGTTCTTACTTAACTAGGCTACATATCTAGCTGCTGCAAATTTTAATGCTAAAGAGTTTGGGGGCTTTCTCTGCTAGGGATGACTGTATCCTAGAGAAGAGTTCCCCGAGAAGTCATGTGACTGTTTCAGTGCAGAGTGCAGGTAAACTACAGGAGGTTGTATCTGATTAATTTTAAACTTAGTACTGTGAAGATCTGAAATCTCAAGGACTGGAGATTGTAAATACCTAAGTTTTAAACTATGTGCAGAGTTTTGACTAGAAAAATATTTGAAGACTTTGAGATAATCAGCATTTCCCTGTAATTCTGAAATACACTGGGCAGTGTGGAATCAAACTCTATAAATCCTGCTTCTGGTTACTCATGGACACCTATCTGCTCCCAATTTTAAGTAATTGATCAGAGTACTTCTAGATGTGTTACCAGCTGGAATTAAGATTCTTTATTAACTTGAGAGAGCATCAATGATATTTTGCTAATACTGTGCTAGAAGCTAATTGGTATTGTTGTCCTTGACTTTGTAGGCAACAAAATTGACATAAATTAGGGAAAAAACCAAACCTGTTTTAAGGTGATGTGATAATAACATCAGTTTACTTGGTGTGTGTTTATTTACCATATATGAGTTACTCAACACTTGTGTGCTATGAAATACTAAATGAAATGCTAGCAATAAACTGGTACTGTTTTTGCCAGGACTGTGAAAATTGGTGTTTTAAAGAGAATATATTGTAATATACCACTAGTTCTATATGCTCTAGTGTAGTTTCAAGAAGATAAAATGTGGAAATGTTTTCTGTGGATGTACAAGATTACATTCAGGACTTCGGGTTATATTTTCTGAGTTAGCATTAATGTTGTAATACATCTGCTGCATTTATTTTGATCTAAAATTGGCAAAGATCGTTTTTTTAAGTTAAAAATTTAAGAGGTACTTGATATTTCTAGGCATGGGAAAGCAGGTTGGTTTTTTTTTTCTTTTTAGAATATTTATTTCTCTTTCCAGTATTTTTGCACACTTCACATTGCTGTTAAAGAGCTGTTTGAAATGTTCTCCATTTATAAATGTAAACTGGGGCTTACTGTATGATACCCTATTTATATAAATATGGGCAATAAAGGTTTTGGTTTATGTAAATGAGGATTGATAAGTGTCAAGTGTTTGTTTTTTATTCTTGTGTAGTAACATTTAGTAAATTTTCCTTATAATTTCCATGTGGAGGTGAATGCAACTATCAACATACAGTGTCTCCTTTTCCCATATAAAGAAAATTAATCTATAATGTTTTCAACTTGACTATAACTGTGTGTGTCAAATTCTATAGCGAAGTTAAATTACATGCTCACTTTAATACTCATATCTTTGCAATGTTTTGGATTATGAATGTGCATATTCTGGCACTGAGTTTTGGCTGTTGCAATTATTATTCAGGCTTTCAGGTCAGTAGTTACGCTATTTGCAAAATTTACAAAGAAAGAGCTGTAAGAGCTTTTTTAATTTCCAGACTTTTTTTACTTGTTTTGTTTTTAAATTAATAAAACTGTCATTTTTTGGGTGATTTCTTGTTTTCTAACAAAAAGTATAGCTACACTCATTTTATTAGATGCAGTTATTTTTTTGTTTCCTCAATCTCAGCTCAGCTCTGAAGGTGTCCTTGCATGCTAAAATGTTTTGATCCTGTGGCTCATGCTGATTACATTTCATTGTTGTCATTTTGTTAGATGCTCCAGCCTTGCAGCCCTTCCTTGATTAAGCACAAGCAGTTTATCATCACTCACACGGGCTCCTTGCTCACGATCACCACACGAATTATGCACGTCCATGCCCAAGCTAGGACAGCAAAGCAGGCAAGCAGGGTCTGCCAAGAGCCCAGCAAAAAGGTACCAAGTCTCAGAAGTCAGTCATGGGTGTAGTGGGAGCAGTCTTGTTCCAAATAGTGTGAACTTCTAGAAGTCTGCTCCAATGACAGCATTCACTTCCCCTCTCCCAGCTTCCACCATTCATCACCCTCCTGTCTTCCCAAAGAAGCCACCAGCTCCTCTTCATGCCTTCCATTACTGGCTTTAGTGACATTCCTCTATGGTGTTTATGATTCAGTTGTCCTGGTGCTTCCCCTTTGGTCAGTGTCCCACGAAGCCCCTACTTCCCATTTTATTATCTATGAGGTCTGGCAGTTTCTCACCTTTTGTTGTGTGTGGTGTGTGTGGTGCCTGGGGCCCTGCTGACCACCAGGCCTAGCTGACAGCAGGCCCCATGGTTGTGTCTTTCCCTTGGAATCTGTGATGGCTGGCAATTTGTCACATGGAAATGTAGGAAATTACACTGATAACTGCATATATGACCTGAGCACTACTCTTAAAATGAAGAACATTTTAAAGTTCCTTGCATTGCTGTCTGGTTTGTACAGACATGTAGCCAGGGTAGGCCATTATTCACAGCCTGGTAGGCTGTAGAGAAGCAGACGAATGAAAAGTGCATAATGGAAGCTTTTAGTTGTATAAAGCTTGCCCAACCACCTCTCACTGCTGCAGGACTGCATGAACAAGAAGAGTCTTGACTCTCAAAAGGAAACCAGCATTTCCCACTTGGTGTGTTCAAACTTTCCCTCACACGACCTCATAGCTCAGGCTGGTCTCTGAAGTGCTAAAGCCACCTAGTGGCAGGCTGCTCCACTGGGCATGGGTACATAACGTTTTACAGAGTATATGTACACATACAAAACACCGATTTTCTAAAGCAGAATAGAGCAAAATAGTTTTAAATGTTAGAAAAATATGCAGGCAATTATTAAGAATGACATTTGATTCTACTGAGCGCTTAAATAGTGGTGATAGACAGGGCCTGGTATTGTGCCACATGGATCTTGTGTTCTGTTTGCTGTATGAGACTACTTGCTACTTCAGAAGGCCTCCTTCCCAGTGAGAGTAACTGTGTCACTGTCTTGTAGGTGGGGAGGGAGAAAAAAATAGATCCTCTGTTAACTTGATCATCCCTCCAGTTTGTAGTAAGTTCAAAGTCTAAGCTTTTGAAACATATTCCTTGACTGAAAAAAGAGATGTCTATAAGTAAGCACAAAGCTAGCAGTCTTATTAAGGCACTAAAATCTAACTACTAAACCTAAAATCTGTTTGTACAAAAGATTAATGAACATGGCTATGGTTTACTTAAAATACTTTGAAATACTTTATTAATTCCCAGCGAATATTTTTAAGGTTCAATTTTACTTTAAATGTGTTACCTCAAGCGATGCAAAAGTTTTGCTAAGTGTTGTAAGTAGCCTGGATAGTAACAAAACTGGGGACTGTTGGAAGTTCCTGTGGTTAGTCACCATGAAAAGCTGGCTGAATCCTGCTACTGCTGCTTAGACTCCAACCAAGAATAAAGGCTGTGATAGGACTTCAACTTGGGGTTGAAGCCCCCAAGTGTAATTAGACATCTTGCAAGTGTTTAGAATCAGTGCAAAGGCAAGAACCTTGTACACCACTTTGTTAGATTTAACTGTGTCAGGTAAAACAGAACAGGAGTCATGACATATCACTGAAAATAGCACTCATATAAAGCTGACACGAATGGTTAAATGCAGTGAATTTTTTTATTGGTGAAGATATAATTTTCAAGATGCAAAATACTCAGAATTTGAGTTTCTGACAAGTCTGATTTTGCAAGAAAACACTCCTCATAGATGTGAAAGGGTTAAATATATACAGTGAGACATTCTCATTTGTTTTCCTTGCTGAATAAATACATTTTTGAAGAATATACTCTCCATAGGCAATACTTAGCACATGTAACAGTGTCTTTTCAGTATATTTGTTGAAAATAAATGCAACTGTTACTATGCTGCCAGACAAGAAACCACTGTTGTCTGCTCTGAAGCCTTAAATATATGCTAATAAAAATCAAGTGTTCCTGCCAGTACCAAATGGGAAGTATTCTGGGAATTCATGAATAATTTTTAGTGCTTCATTGTAGAGTTCCAGATCTGAAAAAGGGCAAAGAAAATGGTTATAATGCATAAGCTCAAGTCACTGACAATGTTCAAGTACTGCTTATTTTAAAGCAGTAGTGCTGAGTGATCCCAGTCTCCCTCCAGCTCTCTCCCATTTTCCCACAGCAGGAATACTCATTGCTTGTTTTCTGGAGGGTTACTTCTAAGCCTGCCAGCTGCACTACACAAGGTCCAGGGCAAGGTGAGAACCACGCAGTCAGGAGTAGGAGAACAATCATGCCACAGCAATGATCTAAACTGGCTCCAATATTGAGTCACTCCCTACAGTTAAACCACTAAATTTGGTACAGAACTTTTCTCATGACACTCTTCTACACCCTGCTCCTTATCTGGCAGTTTGAAGAAAGACCTTCACTGTAAAATGGTAACTAGGCTTTCCCTTCTTATTGACTGAAGACAAGTTCAGAACTCAAAATTAATTTGCCATAATGTATATTCTTACTTACCAAATGAACTTTTATCTTCTCTGAACTGGACGTATGATACACACATGATGGTTGCCTGATTTGTTACTCTTCCTACCACTTCAATAACTCCTGAAATCTCCTCATCCAGCTAGAAAACATACCAAAGATGAAATTAGTAACACTAAATTAGCTGCTGTCTTAACTGCACAGCTAGGAATTCTCCACAACTGATGGTTTGTTCATGACAGATTCTGTTCCATGTCAAACAATACAGTACTATGGAACAGCCCTGTCACCCTCCCCCACAAAAACCTTGATCCACTTAAAGGTTTTCTAATAGCTAATTCAATACCAGCAAAAAAAAAAAAAAAGGTAACAAAGACACATCCAAGGAGAGATACTGGTTCATAAGTATATAAAATTGTGTCATTTAATCAATGAACAGAGACTAATCTAGGACACAGAGAACAATTCTGATTTTAATGCACTGCATTCAAACCTGTGTCAATTATAGAACTCTGTAAGAGTTAAGGAGGCATCACACATTCCAGAGAGCAGTTCCAGTATTCCACATTCAGGGGTATATCTAGAAATAATTTCTTAAGTAATCTGTCAGTAAGTGTTCAGAATATGAAGATACTGTCACTAATAAGCCTTTGGTTGAACAAAGGAAAAAAAGGCTAAAAATTATATCTTACACCAAGAAAATACAGCTTGAATGTTGTTTTTGTTTTTTAAGATACAAATTTTAACAGTGCAGTACTATTTTGGTAATGCTCTTCCAACATCTAAGTCTTATTTTTTACTTTCTATTAAGTCTTCTGTAGTAATTCCCTCCCCATAACTTTGGAGTCCTCTGTAGAAAGAGGGAACTGTGCATGCACAAATAGCAAAATATATTGAAAAGGAAAAAAGTTAGAAAGCATTTTGATTAACAAATCTATTAGTTTCCCCATTGACACTGGGTGAACTGGAGAGATGAACCTGGACTACCTAGCCTCACTTTTTTTGCACACACCAGCTCCTCCCAAGGCAGTGGAACACAGACTGAAGTGCTCAGCACTATAGCTTTGCATTTATGGAATTCAACCACTTATACTGCTAGAGAAAATATTATAGAACCATTAGTCAGATGCTAACATCTGAATTTCTAACAACGCAAGGCAGGAAATGTTTTCACAAACTCAAGACAGAGGTAAGAGACATTTTGTTGCAGTTTGACATCAGCAATCTTCACATTTATAAGATAAAACTCTGCCAGATTTAACTGCATTTTTCATCAACAAGGACAGACTTGTCTTGAAAGACTGAGAGAGTACCATATAGTTATTTCCCAAGGAAATGGCAATGTTTCTCAGCGTTCAACAACTCATTCGGAGAAAAAGATGTAAATATACACATGCACTGAGTCAAGCTAGAGCATTTGCCATCACAATTAAAATAATTGTTTAATTACAGCACTTCTTGGTGGAAAAAACAGAATCAGAAGAGAATGCTGAAATGTTATTCTTTAGTGGTAGGTGATAACAAAGGAAGCAGGATTTTTGTTCAGTAGTTCTAGTTATATCTTATACCCATTTCATTAATTGCTTGGGTTTTTTTAAGAAAGAATGCTTCAAGCTAACTATGGAGTTTACTGAAATACTATGACAAGTGTTCTAAGAAGATGTAGCAATGTTAAAAAAACTTGAAAACACTATGTTCTTTTTGATAATAGAAGTGATAAGGAAATGGGAAGAAAGACAGAAATTAAAATAAAGCTAATAAAGTGGAATATATTATACTGTGAACAACTAATAGAGAGCCAAACAGGGATGTGTCTGACAAGGAATGAGTTGTCTCTTAACACTAGCTGAAAACTGATGAAGACCAAGGCAGCTCATGGGTAAGAAGACTGCAGGTTAGCTAAAAGATACAAGAAAGGCAATGAAATACAGGTGGAAAGACTCAAAACATGGAAGGTATGTACAGGTTTCAGAAGAGACAAAATCTCGGGAATCCACAAGGGACGACATCAAGTATTTCCAAAGCATTCCTTAACTTACAGGCTCGCTCAGCTCCACAGTCGTGTGCTTTCCGAGTCCGTCTGTAAGCACGAGGAGCTTCCCGCTAGGATGAATCTACAAAAGAACATTTAAGTCTAGAAAATACATTAGGCCTGTGCGCTCCCAAGGCACCTGGAAGCGCCACAGCTTTGGCCGCCTCAGCAGTTCTTTCCCGCAAAGATCCGGCCGCCTCCCGCCCTGCTCCGGCCGCCTGGAGCTGCCGAGCTGCCCCAGGGACGGCGCCAGCCCCGCTCCCAGACCCCGCCGAG